ACCATATCCACGTCCCTCAAGAAGTCTTCCTTGATTCATTTATTCACTCAAAAATATTCCCTCTGCCTTCTATATTATTTATTTCTCTTCTATATTATAAAAATATGAATTGCTTATATAATCTGTTAGATTGTAAGTGGTTCAATTAAATATTTAAATTGTATTTTATTATCAGAATATAGTGTTAGAAAATATCACAAATTTTATTTTTACTTTAATATAGAGGATTTTGGGGTCCACAGACCTGGATCCTAATCCTGTCCCCACAATACTTTTCACTTTATATTTCTTTACCCTGTATCCTCATCTGAAAAAAAGGGGATAATAATAGTGCTTATCCAATAGATATTTTTGTGTGTGTGAGAGTCAAATTAGAATCAAGCACTTAGAGAGTATCTCATATATATCAGGTGCTCAATAAATGTTGCTGAGTACTATACTACGACTGAGATAAAGGGAGATAATAATGAAATAAGTTCTACTCAAAACACATTTATTTTGTTGTCTATAGCCATAATTACCTGGGATTACTAAAGAATGAAGGGATATAAGAAATACTACAGAATCAGGAAAAGATCCCTCACTTTGGGATTATAATGCAAGAAAAGTCAAGTAAACACAAATATGATGTTGTACTGTACACAAAGTGTTAGTTTTCCTCTCTGTCATTCTGTAGGTTTCTTTACAAGATTCTTTTAACAGCCAGAGATGACTAAAATATTGCCCTGTGAGGGTTTATAATCTAGTTGGGGGAAACAGCTGTATACACACAAAGCCATTTGTAATTACAAAGAGAAATGGCCTTGAAGGATGAGATTGATTTCAACGATTAAAAAAATTGAAAAAGATTACCCAAATGAATACAATTAAGAATATGACAAAGGCAGAGTGACGGAAAAAGCCTCCTACCTTTGGAGAATATTGCTTGACTAATTCCTTTTCTACATACCTCAGACAAACTTAAAATTTCTACAGTGAAAAAAGTAAGGAATAAGCTACCTGAGAAATAACTACTCTAAGGACCTCTACATTGCCAGAGTCTCACTTCCACAAAAACAACAACAAAACAAAAGCCCCCCAAAACAAAACAAAACAAAGCACCAAGTAAAGAAGTATCTTCCAAACACCTTCTCTGTAAATTTTGCTGCCTGGAGTAGCTATGATGATGCTAAGCACCAGTAACACAAATAAAATGCAATCGTATATGTTCCTTATCAATAATATATGCTCATTACCATTCATGATAAGAAAATGAGTCAGTCCTAACAAGCATCAATGGCTTTTCCAATAATTAAAACACATCTATAATAAAGTTTCTGGTAAGGTTTAGGTGTCTGCCTTTCAGATATATATATTTTTTAGGACCAGTGCATTTACTATAACCAGTAATAGATATAATAAAATGATTACAATATTAATTTGTAAAAGTATGGTGTTTTTCCTCTTAAAGTGCTTTTAATATTTCATTTTCCTTCATTGACCCAATTTCTTAGAGAGGAGAGTCTAAGAAGGCCTTTTAAAATATAAAACTAATAGAGAAAATGGGCACTTTTCTCTTTAAAAATCCTATAAAAAATAGGACAAAGTACTTTGCCCGCATGGGATATTAACATAAAACACAGGGAAAGTGCTGCTGTCACAAAGTAGCTTAGATTTTTTTCCCCCTTAGATACAATTTATCACAGTGTTCTGAATTTGAGTATAATGTTTTCAGTAAAAATGACTCTTCAGTGATCTACGTGAACAAATGGGATTTTAGGCATAGCATCACGAGAGGATACCCTATACCATGTTAAGACCTCAATACAGGGACATTCCATTGTGTGTATAAATAACTCCAGTTCTTCTAAACATGTCTCTCCATATGGTTTTGCTTAACAATGCAGCATATGCCCTGGATGGCTACCACCTATTTAGCTATAGGCAGGCCAGCAAGCTTCCGTCCCTTTTCTCACTGGTAGATCACTGGACAGGAATGCCAACAGGGGAAATTGTCAAACTTGCAGGTGACTGGCAGGCACAAGGGTATTTTAAGGCTTCTCTACCTTAGAAGCCTGCCAGGCTTATTCTTTTGTGTATTAGGCCATATCTTTTTAACCCAGGTCTGAAGCTTCAGAAAAATCTGTTGAGGTTAAAGTCAAGGAAGAAAGGACTAGAAAGGAAAGCCCCTCCTCATCCCTAGTTAACCCCACTCATCAGAGACTACAGAAATTGTTTCCTGGATGTTAAGAAATGCATTGTAAAAATTATTATGAGACTGAGAGATCTCTCAGTGAAAACAAGCATACAAATTAAAAATTAAAACAAAACTTTTGGGAAAGTCAGAAGCTAATTCTTATTGAGGTCTTAGTGATATTTACCTTAATGTATCCTGGGCTATGAAAAGCAAGAATGGTACCTGCTTCCTCAGCCCATCATTTTCACTCAGGCTCTCACAGAGGCATCGACTTCCATTGGTTCTTTTTGATAATTGATTCCTACTTCTTAATGTGCCACCAAACTCTCTCTACACTTTATCAAGGACTAAGAGTGTAGATTTTAATAACGCTATTTACTTATTTTGTTAAAAAATAAAATTACTAGCATTCTAAAACCTTTTGGCTTCTCTGTATACCTGTATCTTCAAGTTACTTATGAATTCTTGACAAAAATAGTCAGTTTCTTCATCTTTTAGTGTCTTACAGCTGATAACATTGTGCCATCCGTGTGTCAGAATGCCCTAGTGCTTAATTTTTGGAACAAACTGAAGAAAACAGAAGAAATGGAAGTCCAGAGATTTGACCTAACATGAGTCAAATATTAGAAGATAGCTAAATTGGGTTAAGAATATACTTTTCTTTTTCTCTATGGGTCAAATTCTTTTTACTCTAACTTGCTTTTATCTGTAGACTACAAGTAAAATTATTCTACTGTCTAGTTTTTTCCCCCTCTGTTGGATTATATATATATTTTTGAGACTAGAGAAGGCTTTTAAAAAATTTTTGTATTTTTTATTATTTTTAGAAGGCCTATGCTTAGCTTATACTTATGCTGCCAGTGGAAACAAATTTACTGTCTCTGGAATTAAAAAAAAATATGTCTCATCCTTGCATCAACTTCTTGTCAAGTCCTCCATACCAGCCTTCCTCTTTCTGTAGCCCATGCTCACAGAATTGAGCTTTTTAAACTGGTCTCCATTCCGAGGAATTGGGAAGACATTGAGTATACTCAAAGCCTATATCGATCTTTTGGACAAGGCCGACCTGCCATTCTGTGAGGGTTTACCAAGGGAGATCATACGAAGAAAGTATGGGATCAGTTTAAATGCACATTTGAAATAATTACAGAGCTGGGTTTTTAAAATAACTCTTTTTGCAGATTAAAGACCTTACAACCTTTCATGCCCCTGAACTCAAACCAAAATCTCTAGACTTAAATTAAACAAGACAAATATTTTGCCTTCAGCTAGTCAAAAGGAATATTGATGTTCTAGACATTTTCCAGGATCTGATCTGAACTGATAATTCCATAGCTTATTATAAAAAACTAATATCCAAAAAGAAAAGTCAAATAAGCTTCTAGTCACCTATCTCAATACAGTTCATTCATCTCTTATTTCTAGTTTTATCATTCTTTGAGATTTACCAGTAAGTTTATAGGAAGATTTATATAATGTATATAATTTAATCATAAGATCAAGCATTATATTGTACTTACATTGTAGATATTATTTCATTTTACAAATAGTGGGCTCTGAGAAGTTAAGAAAATTTTTACAGTGTCACTCAGCTTGTAAGTAATAGAGACAGACTGAACACATGTATACCTAATATCCAAGTTTTGCTTTGGTCTAGTATGTTATATTGACATAAAACCATGTGTTAGATTTAATTGTTACAATATATTCTTTGTTTTATTGAGACTCAATACAAGAAGTGGTAGAGAATAGTGATTTTTTAATTATAAAATAATTGAAATTTTTTTCTATTTTTATATATTTTTTACAATAAAAATGTATTTATGAATAGCAGAGAACTGCAGTTCAGAAGTAGCAAGCTATGGCAAAACTATATGGAAGCCTGGAGAACAAAGGAGAGGGGCTTGATTTTATTAGGTTTTAGGAGGGAATTAGAGAGGGTTGTTTTGGACAAAAGTTCATTGGAGAAGAACAGGAGTTGGAGGTTGTGCTTGTTTCTCATTGGCTGGAGGTGGTGGTTAGACCATTGTTGCTGGGCTAGCGAGGGGTCTTCCTCCTTTTTCTTAAAGCAGAAGAGAAAATTGCCATGCAATTAATGCCCTTCTTTACCAAATTTATTCATTCATTCATTCATTCATTCATCCATTCATTATTTATTTATTTTTCAAATGCAGTTTACATTCCATGTTATTTTGTATTAGTTTCAGGTGTACAGCATAGTGGTTAGACAGTCATATACTTTACAAAGTGTTCCCCCTGGTATTTCCAGTCCCCACCTGGCACCATGCATAATTATAATATTATTGACTATACTCTCTATGCTGTATTTACAATTCCATGATTACTTTGCAACTACCATTTTTTAAAAAAATTGTGCCTTATATGGAAACTAAAAAAGTAAAACACTTTCAGATTTGGTTTGAGTAAAAAGCTTTATCTCTTAAAGAGCTGAACAACTGATGTTTCCTTTTATTATAATAAATAGAAATTTATATGTAGGGTTTTTTTTCTTCTTTGCTTCTAGAAAACTTAAGAGTAAATTTTAAAGCTCATTCATGGAAATTATTTTAGGAGGAGGATAAGAATTTGATGTATATTCTTCTTTTATTACTTATCTTTTTTCTTTTCATACTGACAGTTTTATTCTGTCTGAAATTTATGTTTGCAAACGAAAAGGTTTATTAGCATAGATACAGAATCAAATCTATATTTTTAAAATGAGATTTCTAAAGCTTATCTTTTTTTCCTTTCTATGTATCTATCTGTCATTTATCATCTATCTACGCTGTTCTTACCTTATATTGTATTTTTTTAATTTTTTTTTCAGGGGAGAGTGCGAACTCAGACCCCCACTACCACAAATTATGCAGGTGGGTTTCCCACATTTGGGGAAACCGCAGGGGCCAGCACATCCAGAGTGCAAGGGACAAGCTTCGCCCTGGGAAAACCACTTTTGTGATCATGGCATCTCCCCTGCCAGGGAAGTATGTTTTTTTTTCAAATTCTGAAAGCTGAATTTTTATCATTGTATGTCGTAAGCATTACTTGCTCACAGCTCATATTGAATATTTATTTAAGAAAAAGCTGCAACGTTCTTTTAAAGGACAGAACTTACCAAATAGATACCGGTTTAAAAATGATGAAATGCCAAGTCTTAGTTCACAGTTTATTTTAAATTTTATGAGAGTTTGCAGTTTTCTTCTTTTCCCCTCCTGTCCTTTCCTGAAACATTCCAGTCATTATCACATCATATTTATAGCAGTCTTTCCTCTGAAAGTGTGTTCATGGAACACTGACCATGTTTCACAAATAAAAATGAATTCAAAGGAAATTGATTGAAAATATACATATTGTGTTTGAGTTAAGATGATGTCAAAGCAACTGGGTGACTGGTGACCTCGGGCACGTCAGGTGTTCAGTGTATATCATTATTTGACCAGTCTGTGCTAAAATAAGTCCCGGTAGATACCTGGCATTGTTGCACACAAAAAAGTTGACTAAATTTTGCATTTTCTAGTTTTTCTGTTGATGTCCCTTTGGATAATTAGCTTCACATTTTCTCAACAGCTTTTTGATGTGTCCTGTCTGGTTTGAAATAATTTGCTTTTCTTACTATATAGGGCAGAGGGCATTATATGCCCTGAATCCCAAAGATTTGAACCAGGCATTGCTAACTACTTTAGCACTTCTCTTTTACTAGCATTGCATGTATTTTAAAATACGCACATCTACTCTCTAATATTTGTGCATACTTCAGTTGCACATTAATTCACTATATACAAAATGCTTTTTATTCACCCTGGCTTCTTTTCCATGTTGAGTTTCAGAAAACTTCTCTGCATGAGGAAGGGTCTTAACAATCGATACAGAAGAAAGTATTATTAAGCCTGTACCACAATAACCTAATTTATCAAATCTGAGACTATTAGAGCTGACAGATCAAATGTTATCTTTCAGGGAAAATGTTTAAAATAGCCCTGAAAAAATCCTTTGGAGAGGAGATGTTAATAAATTGCCAAAGTACTTGAATTGCAGTGAAATAATAAATAATATTTTTTCAGTTTATGATGAATTAGTTCCTATATTTTGATAAAAGGGCAAAGAATATAATTAGAATATATATTCTAATTATAGCTGAGTTCCAGGTTTGGTGGTGCTTGTCTGGATTTCACTTTTCCCAAATGTGTTGCTAATAACTGGATCAAGATGATTACCTAATATAATTCCTATGGCTATATATCTATTTTTTTTAGCATTAGTATTCTGATGTTTGAAATTGGCAATATACAAATGCTCAGAATCTTGGAGATTACTGACTGTGCTGTTACTGTTATATTTATTAGTGTAGCTTATGACATGAAGTGGGGATTTGGCAATTTTATGCTCTGTTGATCAAGGTGGGTAGCACAGAAAGATAATTTGGGACTTAAAGTAAAATGATTAGTTGGACCATAACTACTATTCAATTATTCAGATCATCAGGCGTCCACAGTTCGCTTGTTGCCATCCACATAATCCCTGCATGAATGACCAAGACAGAATAAAGGCTGACTGATGATTGGGATATTATTTTATAGGATATGAACAAATTTGATCCAACTCTTCCCTCTCCTTTTTAATATCTAAATTATGGGTCATGATGGAATGTTTTCCACTATGACTACATGTCGCCTGGATGGGAGAAGTGAGACTGTTCCTTTGACCAGCTGCAGGGTGGCCAACTCAGTCGAGTTCTGCATTGAGGGCAAGGACTGAACTCTTTTGTTTCACATTCTTGAAGGCTTTTCCTGGCCAGCGTTGATTTGGCAAGAGTGTGCACTTGGGCTGTTGGGCTGCTGCCAGGCACTTGGTCCTGAAACTGGAGTGAGTAGGATCCTGCCAAAGATTAGACTGAGAAATCTGGATGCAGGCTGGCAATTCAAGAAACAACTTCAGCCAAATTGGCATAGTTGGGAAAACCTTGGAGAATCACAATTATTTGAGACAAAATAAAAAGTTTGTGAGCTTTCTAAACATTATGTAAATAAGCCTTGATTCCTAACTCACAGAAGCACAGAGGTTCATCACTGTGGCATGTCTGTAAATGTACTAGTGCCCTGGTTCATGTTACATTGGACCTTGGTTTACAAAGAGGAAATCGAACGGTGCTGCTCTGGTGATGCTTCAGCACCCACAGCAGCAGGCAGAAAACTCAGGTGTCTGAACACATTTCTCAGAATTCTGGTTCTCATCCCCGTCATGGCCCAGAAGCTGCCAGTCTATGGGTATACATATGTGTTGAGGAGGCTAATGTGGACTATTAACAGTATCATTTATGAAGAACCAATTTTTTATGCCTCACACATATTATCTCATTTAAGTTAATCCTCACAGCGGTCCTGTGAGGCAGGCACTGAATTACTGTTACTGTTTTCATCTCAGAGATCCAAGGTTGAAACCAGGTTTCCCAAATGCCAAAGCTTGTAATTTTTTTTTTAGCTTGAGGAATAATTGATATATAAAATTAAAAGATATTTAAAGTGTTCACTGTGGTGATTCAACACATGTGTACATTGTGGAAGGATTCCATCCATTTGGTTAATTAACATATACATAATCTCACATGTTCATCTCTTTTTTTCCCCAATGAGAACATTGAAGTTCTCTCCCAGCAAATTTCAATTATACAATAGAGTGTTATCAACTGTAGTCATCGTGTTTTACATTAGATGCTCAGACCTTATTCATCTTAAGTCTGAAAGTTCTTATACTTTTACCGAAATCTCCCCACACTCCTGGCAATCACTTTTTTACTGTCTATTTTTATGAGGTTTACTCCCCCCACCCCCGATTCCACATATAAGTGATACCAAGCAGAATTTGCCTTTTTCTGTCTGGCTTATTTCCCTCAGCATAATGTCCTCAAGGTCCATCCATGTCACAGCAAATGGCAGGATTTCCTCTTCCTCATTGCGGAATAATATTCTAGGGTGTGTGTGTGTGTGTGTGCGCGCGCGCGCGCGCGCGCGCGTGCACATACATGACAACTTGCAAATAATTAACTTTTTACATACATACATAACAACTTCTTTATCCATTCATCCACTGAAGGACATTTAAGTTGTTGCCATATATTGGCTATTGTGAATAATGGTGCACTAAACATGGGATTGCAGAGATTTCTTCAATGTTATGTTTCTATTTCTTTTGGAAATGTCTCAGAAGTGAGATTTCTGGGTCATATGGTAGTTGTATTTTTAATTTTTTGAGGAATCTCGATATTGTTTTTATAGTGACTGCACTCATTTACATTCTCACTAATAGTGTGAAAGGTACCATTTTTTCAATATCCTCAGCAAACTTGTTATTTTTTGTCTTTTTTATTATAGTTATTCTAACAAGTTGATGTGATTTTGATTTGCATTTTCCTGATGTCTAATGACATTGAGTACCTTTTCATATATCCATTGGTCATTTGTATGTAATCTTATATTTGTGACTATATTATGTTTTACAGAGTTTGATGTGCTTAGAGATCCCTAAGGAAAACTCTTCCAATGTTGATTCGTGGGTTCTGTGCAAAAAAGTTCTACTGTTATAGGTCTGGGATTAGTGGTATGATTGATTTATGCCACTCCAATTCAGATGTCTGGATGGCCAGCTTTTGGGAAGTAAGTTCTTTATATTGTCTCCTGATTGTAACCAAGTATGTAAACACATGTGTTAGAGTGGGACATCTTTTTTTCTTTTAAACGCCCAGACAGGTCATAATAAGAATGACATACATTGGCTGTAGTTTACTCTGTGGTGTTGCTTAACATGTTCCTTAATTCCACCTCCAAACTCTTTTTTCTGTCTTCTGTAGGCCTCTTGTTTACCCTAGAGCACTTAGCTTGCTCTCTTTTGGGCATCACTGAGACATGTTCACTATCTCAGAGTCCTCCAGTGATCTGATACATACTTAAAGTATTTGAGTAAAACTTTATACATCAGACTTGCATAGATGTCCTGTGGCAAAACAGATAAACTCAGTTCTTCCATGATTTATTTCAATATTCTGGGTTAATTATGTTTTTTCTTGTAGGCAAAGAGAAGGTATCTGACGGTTATAGAAAGCCCACAAAAGTTATTGGAGATTAAAAAAAAGTTAATTACTTGGATACACTAACCTACTGGTCTGAGAAATCGGGTTGAAATATTTTGAAAAATAACCTAGAGAGTATATACTAATATACTGTCAAGTTTATTTGTCTCTTTTAAAAATGTTACATTGAATACATCTTATTTCTTGTTTAGCAGATCAAAGCCTAAGAAAAATCCAGTGCTCTTGCTTGTAGACCTGGGTAGAATCTGATCTGGGAATTTGATAATTTTAAAAATGCCAATAGAGAATAAACAAATAAAAAGAGACATTTTATCAGTCTCAAGAATAGTGTTCTTAAGACAAAAATAAACTTTCCACATTTGTGTTTTACTTGATATAGGTCTATACTTATGTAATATTATATGTATACACAAAATTTAATTTTTAGAATTGTATTGCTTAAAAAAATCAGCTTAGTGTTATGCATATCAATTGATGACTTTAAAACTTCTCAAGCCTCTTATTTTATAAGCAAAACTTTCCTATAAATATTGGACATGCTCAAATTAATCAATGAAACTTACTGCTTTTCCATTTGCATTTATTCTAAAATTATAATGATTTCAAAGGATATTAGATTTTATTTGATGTATCATCTATCCCAAGTGGCCATATTTCTTTAGCAAATAGCAAGACAATTGTAGGGATTTAATCTGGACATATGGTTTGACTAGGGCAATTCAAATATTATCTCTTGGAGCTGGAGAGAAGTCTTGTAATGAAGGACAGACAGAAAAAAACACTTCACCACAGCAAGACTGGCAGGGGCTGTGGAGGAGGCACAGGAAGGCTGGCTGTATGCCTATGGGCCACCGATGAGGTTCCAGAGGGATGTTTCAGTGGCCAGGGGATTCCCCTTGAGAAG